AATTAGGTTAGTTTCAGCTATTTGGGAAGCTGAGGCAGGAGACTCACTTGAACCCAGGAGGCAGAGGTTGCAGTGAGCCAAGAATGTGCCACTGTACTCCAGCCTGGGTGACAGAGCAAGACTCAGTCTCAAAAAAAAAAAAAATGCCTTCAGAGCCATTAAGCAGTTCTCCCATTTTCCAGGTGAGGTCAACAGGGTTTAGCAAGCAGAGTGACTTGCCCAAGGCCACGTGAGGACTTCAGGACCCTTCTCACACTTCTCAATCAGGTGTCCCCCCATACACATACCTCAGTCCAAACAGAAGCTGCTGGGGGCCTGGCTGAGTGGGGATGTGGGGCTGCCCAGCACACCACAGCCGGGCCTGGGGGAGGCAGCCCTGATGGGGCCTTCCTCCGCTGCAGCATCTTGGGCTTTGTGGTGAGACCAGGATGATGAATCTTGTTTCTTCAGGTCTAATCCAGTATCTGGATTTTGCCAGGACATCTTAACTCTCCCTGTAATCTTGTTTTGCAAAAGGAAATAACAGTGGCTGACAGCACTCCCTGTGTGGGTAACCCCCCATATAGGCACCGAGGAATGAGAGCTAAGCAGAACGCTGGCACAGTTAGGGCTTGAGGAATATCTCACTTTATAGTGTTACTACTCAGCTATTTCCTTTTATATAATCCTTTACATAATCATTTATTAGTTTATAGAAATAGGGCTTGAAGAATCCCTTTATATAATCCTCTCTATATAATCATATAATAGTTGATAGTATGAGTGCCTAAAAAATATTTCCCTACATATATACCTATAATTATATCTTAGTTCATAATCGGAGGAATGCCTAGAGTGGACAGAGTACAGAGCATGAATTAAGGAATAAGCAGCTTATAATCGGAGGAATGCCTACAGCACACACAGTGCAGAGCATGATTTAAGGGAAAACAGTTATACCAGGACAAGAATCCATGGCCCAGGTGGCAGCGTTCAGTATCGTAAAGATACCCGCTGTATGGCAGGCTTGGGGCGAGAGCCACTCCTCCTGATAAAGGAGTTGTAGGACCTTGCTCCAGTTCTTGTGGAAGGCTGCCCTCAGAACGGCAATCCACCTTGGTGACTGTGAACTTTATCAGCTCTTGCTGCTGTGCTGCTTGAAAAGCATCTTCCCATAGAACCCATTGGAAGCTGCCAGAAGGTGGCGGTAACCTTGACAGCTTTGTCACTGCTATATGACTTAAAGCATCCTCCCATAAATCTTCTTAGAAGTAGTTTCCCATAGATAGAAGTATGGCACACTGCACCCTCTTCACTGTGCACAGCCCACCTTCAAGCCTCGGTGACCTAATGGGGGTGGACCCCTTACTGCACACGGCGAACGGGCTCCTTGCTGCACACTGTCCTCCTCCTGGCCTAGGTGACCTAATGGGGATGGACCCTATGTTTTATTGCTCACGACCCTATCACTATCCTTAATGATGATTTCACTGCCCTGCCCCCTAACCTACACACAATAAATACTCACGCTTCTAGACATTCGGGGCCTCGCCTGACTCCGCTTATAGGTGGCATGGCCCCCAGAGCCCAGCTGCATTTTCTTTGTACTTCTGTGTCCTGTCTCTTTATTTCTCGGATCCTGCGCCTCAGCACAGCATAAGGCTCACCCCACGACACTGTGGGGCCCTCAGCCCTACATCTGATGCCCACCATGCCCTACATCCCTGGTCCCAGGTTCCTCCAGCATCTCACAATTTTCTCACTGGGGCCACAGAGCCCATCTCACTCGAGCAGCTACAGGTCACCTGCTGGCTCCAGGCCCCCCGTGTGCACCTCCACATCCGCCAGCCTTGAACAAGCTTACCGTGGAGGTGGATGAGGCTAGGCTGCAGATATCAGGAAGCCCTCCTTGGCCCTGGTGGAGAGGGAACAAGTGGTGGGGTTGGGGGAGGCCACAGTGAGACCCATGTGAGCACCTGAGCAGTGGGCCTGGGAGGTGGGGGCAAGGGAGCTGTTGAGAACAGGTAAAACCTTGTTTACTTTAAAACACATTTATATACGTTGGATAATATGGCCTGTTCTATTTCTTTTACCGGGAGAAAATTCCTCTTTGTTACAATGCAAATCCTGCTAAACCCTGTTTTCTTTCTCATGTTAAAAGTAAGGAGGGACAGTGCTCCAGGTCATCAAACGGCAGAGACATGGCTCCTGTGGCAGTCCCCAAGGATGTGTCTCTGAATGAGCCAAAGCTTTGCCGTTCCTTTATTTCCTTTTTTTTTTTGAGACAGGGTCTCGCTCTGTCACTCAGGCTGGAGTGCAGTGGCACCAGCTCGGCTCACTGCAACCTCCGCCTCCTGGATTCAAGCGATTCTCCTGTGTCAGCCTCCTGAGTAGCTGGGACCATAGGCACATGCCACCACATCAAGCTAATTTTTAAATTATGTCTCACTACGTTGCTCAGGCTGGTAGTGAATTCCTGAGCTCAAGCGATCCTCCTACCTCCACCTCCCAAAGTGCTAGGATTACAGGTGTGAGCCACTGCACCTGGCCTTTTGCTTCTGAAATTCAGGTGCTGTTGCCACAGCTGTTACAGGACAGCAAGCAGGGATTCTTAGCTGAGGATTCATAGGTGGACACTGGAACTTCCAAGAGCCTTCTGAAATCTTGTTTTAAATGTTGAGAGTACATATTCACATGCACTTTTTTTCAGGGGATTTAGAGCATTCATCACAGTCTCACAGTTTCTGTATACCCCCCCAAAACAAAAAGGGCTAAAAACCAGTGGTGTGCCACACATGGTGGTTCACACCTGTAATCCCAGAACTTTGGGAGGCTGAGGCAGCTGGATCACCTGAGGTCGGGAGTTCGAGACCAGCCTGACCAACATGGAGAAACCCCATCTCTACTAAAAATACAAAATTAGCTGGGTGTGGTGGCAAATGCCTGTAATCACAGACACTCAAGAGGCTGAGGCAGGAGGATCGCTTGACCTGGGAGGCCGAGGTTTTAGGTGAGCCGAGATCTTGTCATTGTACCCCATCCTGGGCAACAAGAGCGAAACTGTCTTAAAAAAAAAACTGGCTGGACGCGGTGGCTCACACCTGTAATCCAGCACTTTGGGAGGCCGAGGCGGGCTGATCACGAGGTCAAGAGACGGAGACCATCCTGGTCCACATGGTGAAACCCCATCTCTTTAAAAAAAAAAAAAAAAAACTGGCAATCGGGCTTCCCAGCCTCCGCACTGCTGCTGTGCTGAACTGGTGTTTCTGGGCGGGGTCTGTCCTGCACACTGCAGGAGCTGCCCTGATATTCACCCACTAGATGCCAGGAGCATCCCTCTGTCCCAGCCAAAAATGTCTCCAGACACTGCCTGATGTCCCCATGGGGACTAAAGTTAGCCTCTGGCTTGATCTGGACACCACCGGATGGTGGGGGTGGGGAGACACCAGGACCACAGTGAAACATTCCCTGTCCTTGCAGCGTGGATGGTCAGGACAGCCTTAAGAGCTTGGGCACTATCAGGGTCATCTCGCCCATACAGATAGGAGCTGGCCTGGACTGCTGACCTCTGTTGGAGGTCCTTCAGCTGTCGGGGACAGAGCCTAGCAGGCTGCCTGTGTTTCCACCTTGAACCCTAGCTTCCATGAAGTCTGAGGCATTTGTGCTGGCACTACCCAGCTGGCAGGACCTGGGGGGCATCCTGGTGGAGCCGGGGCCTGGGGTCATGAGTTCACCAAGGGGACTCAAGGACAGGAAGAAACAGTGGTGGCGGGGGGTCCTCTGGTTGAAGCCTGGGCCTGAGAACCCTACCATACACATGGAGGCCAGAGCAAGAGAAACAGAAGGAACTCGGAAGCTGGTGGCTATAGGTCAGAGTGGAATGAAGTGTTTTTGTGTATTTTTTGAGACAGACTCTCACTCTGTTGCCCAGGCTGGAGTGCAACAGCGTGATCGAGGCTCACTGCAACCTCGGCCTCCCGGGTTCAAGTGATTCTCCTGCCTCAGCCTCCTGAGTGCTGGGATTACAGGTGCACGCCATCACTCCCCGCTATTTTTACTTTTAATTGAGACAGGGTTTCTTAATGTTGGTCAGGCTGGTCTTGAACTGACCTCATGGTCCGCCCACCTCAGCCTTCCATAGTGCTGGGATTACAGGTGTGAGCCACCACACCCGGCCCCTTCTTTTTTTTTTTTTTTTTTTTTTTTCAGACTGAGTCTCACTCTGCTGCTCAGGCTGGAGTGCAGTGGCAAGATCTTGGCTCACTGTAACCTCTGCCTCCCAGTTTCAAGCCATTCTCCTGCCTCAGCCTCCTGAGTAGCTGAGATTACAGGCACCTGCCATCACGCCTGGTTA